AAAAAAGTCATCAGGAAGTGGTAAACCCACCACAGTTAAGTTCTTCTGGTGTTATCGTGGCCACTGATCTTCCCTGGATCCTTCGTGGGTACTCACAGGTAGCTGCTGCTTGGGCATTACCTGACTCTGCATATGTCTTCAGCAGCTCTGCCAGCCACAGGATCTCACAATCACAGTGAAGAGCGTTTGAATCCAACCGCCTGCACAAGACAAGAACAGCCACAACACCAGTTAGCAAGCTTTTACTATTTTGCTGGGATCAAAAGGGTTCTGTGATACCAGCAGTACTTTTGTCTGAATACGGACAACAGGAAATACAGAATATAGGAGACAATTACTTATGTACATTCTGGTACCCTTTATTACACAATGAGTATTATTTTTACCGCACAGGTAGGACTGCATTCAACATAGCAAGCATCTAAACATTTCTTTTCTAACCCCATGTATTCAGTGAATACATCAGGTTTTATTTAGATGTTGTACACAATTCCCTTAAATAAGGAACTTAGACCATTCTCCCCACATTTTTGTCTGTTTAATACTTATTACTGTAGTAACTTCACAGCTAACTTGACATTTCTACAACTTCCCATTTTGCTGATCAGGAAACTGAGACAAAGATCCACAGTTTTATTTAAGCATTAAGCTCTCATTGAGTTCAGTGGGTCAGTCACTTTGAAAAATGCCTATTGCAGACAGTAAGAACCCATAAATTCTGTTGACTTTCTTCCCAGTAGTGAAGGGCCCTGTTACTATGAACACTGCACTTTCTGATGGAGGATCCTGTAGGAAAAAAAGCCCCATGAGCTACTGAAATCTGTTCCATTAAATATATCTATATATAGTCTGGAAATAAAGTTGCACAGCAAAGCAACCTCAGTTTGGTGTCTCTTTAGGGGTAGTAAACTTTTTGATGATTTTTGTCTGTTAATATTTTTTTAAACCCCTTGCACAGATGCCGAGATATTTCTTCCCTGTTCTTCTATTAAAAAAAAGCAAGAACAATCAAAATTATTTCAAAATTTATGCTGCAAATGTCTCCCAGTACATCACATATTACTGGTAGAATTTAAATTTGGAATGTGAAATTACGATGTGACATTTAGCCCAGTATCCTGTTCCACAGACAACCACTATTAAAATTCCCCTTTACATGGGAGTTATGTAAGGAAGCATCCCTTTATGTTCACTTGAACTCCGTAAGAATTTAAGGGAGGTATGAGTGAAACAGCTACTGGGAGGTGCATACATCATCAAAATGTACTTAATTCTGCTTTTCACTCACAGTTAAAAGTATGGTTCTACCTATAGACAGTGTCCTAGATAGCTTCCTGTTCTGTCCCTTGTGATCTCTTTTGCCAGTAGAGCTAGTGCTGTGACTCACTGCACATCCTCAGCAGTCTGCCCAGAAAGGGGGGTATGAATGCATGACTGCCTTTCTCAAAAGGGCAGTCTTGGATAGCCTAAAGAATGCTTACCCTAGATCAAAACCCTCTGAAAGTCACCCTAAGATAGTACTCTCTTTGAGTTCAAGTTTTCAAATGCTACTGAAGGACTAAGAAGCCTCTAATTTTTCAAGTTAATGTTATTTCAGAAAGAACTGGCTTCTGGAGTTGCTTTTGAAAGTACTACATAAAATCTTAAATGATCAAGCACCTTTTCATAACCATGTTTTTTATCATCAGACAAAGACAAATAAAGCAATTTAAAAAAAAAATACCAAAGTAATCAAACATTGAATGACATCACAGAAAGATGACGCAGTAAGGCACAGACAAGAGGGAAGGGAAAAAGCTCCCAAACTAAAATCAAACACACACCCCTTCCGCCCCCCATAGCCCTACCACAACCAAAAAACACCACAGAAGGATGTGCATATACTATTTAGTCTACAAAACAAGATCATATGATTATGAATAGTTTACAAATAGTTCCAAGACAGGTAACAAAAATTGGACTATTTAAACTTTCTTTAGTTCAACAATAATGCAGTTTACTTACAGTCTCTTCATAGATTCTAAATGACTAAATGTTCCAGGAATCAAATGAGCTATTCTGTTGTTATGTAAAAATCTGTTAAAAAGCACAGAAATATGCATTTAATAATTCAGGTTTTGAGATGTACTCATTTAATTTATATTCTTCTGAAAATCCTTTAAGAGAAAGTAATTTTACAAAATTGAAAGAATGCAAACCTTTTTCAGCAACTCATTGACTGCTATTTTTAAAGTGGCCTCCAAGGTGTATTTGGTGTGTTCACATGAGGAAAAAGAAGCCATAAAAAGACCAAGTAATCAAAAGGAAGAGAGTCCATAAACATCAAATGAGAAATTAAAGAAAAAAAAAAAAATCATAACATAAATCTTCATTTTTTTCATTCATAACATTTATTTTAGGCCAAACATTGGTCATAGCTCTTTGGGAAATAGTTTTGCAGTAGGAAAATATACCACAAGCAATGCTCACTTCTGAATGCCTTTAAGGTCAGCCTGACCAAAGTGTTCTTGGCAAAGATTATGTAGTAGTTACAATAAAAAAATAGATTAAAAATAATCTCTGGGAATGATAAAAATATTATTTTCCGGTTTTAAACATTTGATGTAATTCAAACAAATAAGCCAGCTGACTTCTGAACTTTATCCCAAGAAAAACAAACTTACAGCCTTTCAAGTTTTGGAAGATGGGTAAAGGATTCAGGTTCCAACGTTTCTATTTGATTAAAGTGCAGATACCTGAAAATATTTTAAACAAAAAGAAAAACACTGAAACAGTTTTCTTAATGAAGCGGAAATATTAAAAAGCATTTGTTATTGTTTACACATTGTTTGCACATCTAAATAGCGATAGTGATGTAGTGGCTTAACTTTCTTCCCTTTATCATCTGAATTCTGTTCTTGAATCTGAGAAAAACAGACATGACAAACCATTGTTTGCAGACCACTATACAGTATCTGTGTGTCTGTACATGTGCAAAAAAAATTGTTTGAAAACTATTACTTTGGAGATTTTTGAAATACTACTTGGAACACTCTCCAAGTCTAATTTTCATGAGTATGCATACGCGAATATATATATACACACACACACACATATATGGAATAAAGAGAATAATTATTATTTTTTACAGAAAAAAAACATTGTAGGTTGTTTAGAACATGTTTCTAAACAAAAACTTGTTCAGAATTTCCACTTTTAGTGGGCAACTGTTTCCATTGCTGTCATACTGAGTGAAAATTTTAAAAGACGCTGAGAAGTAACTTGCTCTAGTCAATGAATACTGACATTTAAAGCTAGGAACACTCAGAATTTCTAAAGACAAACCTCTTGGTAATATAAAACTAAGTGTGATTGAATTGCTTTTAGACACAGGGCTTCCCAGCCACTGCTGTACAATTAACCACCACAGCTGTGCTCTGTTTGATGCTCTGCTAATGCTTATGTAAGCTACTAATATTACACAGCTGCCAATCCTGTAAAATTGAAAGTCTCATGTAACAAAATGATTAACCAGATTATTAATCTGTAACTGCTGTGCAAATGGACTGCAAAGGGAAGATCATTCCAGTCTTGACTATGTCGTGGAGGTACTCCATAAACAAGAAGTAATTGACAAGACTTGCACAAGGAACTGTTAAAAAGATTTATAGGCTTCGGATCCCAACTAGACCCAAATGTATCCAAACCTCCTAAGGTTTCCTATTTGACCACTGGCAAACTTGGTAACATCTGGAGAATGTGCCGATATAGAAATCCCAGTGGGCTGAAGAACGAAAAAGGCCATCAATTAAAGACAAAAGGAAAATCTCCGACCCCCAAATCTCCTAAAAAATCACTCCTTCAGCATGAAAAGCAAAAGGACATTGGAGCTCCCTTGTGCCAGAACCCCACACAGGCTCTGCCCCCGTACGTGAGCTGGATGGTGGCCCCAGGGAAAGGAGAGCGGGACCAGGGAGCAGTCAGGGCAGCGCGGCTGCAGCGAGGCCCGAAGGCGCATGGGGGGAATCCA